AAACTGCATCGCTTTTGCGTATTTACAAACTTATTCTATGTAAAAGTTTGGTTGACATCTTTAAACGCCATAGATGCTCCTATCAACAACCTACAGTTTTAAAAAAACATGCAAATGTTTAAAAAAATTGACCCAGGAGTAGCAGGAGCAGCTTTGATAGCTCAAACAAGACACCTATGGTACCTAAGTGAAGAAGTTGCACCCTTTGCCCTCTTTTCAGGATCTGTGTCTACCCATGAAAAAATGAAAATTGCTTCAACAGTTCTGAAAAAAATTAATGATGAAAATATGGAAACTGGAGTGCCAGTAATGCCACAGATGAATCAAATTGTGAAAATGAGCTCTTTAATTGGAAAAATTTCCAGGCTTCTTTTTGATCTTTCGAAAGTAAAAACTAAGTTGCTTTCACTATACCCCGATGAATGGTCAAAAAATTATGAAATTAACTACATATCTGGGATATTAAAGGACCTAAAAGTTGTCAACAATTTAGCGGAAAGGTCAGTTAAACTAGCTACTGACTTTAATCAAAGACTAACACGGGATGAAAGTCAAAAGCAGTGTCTTTTCCAAGTAGTGAAACAGCATAGAAGAAACATACCAAAGTTTGATAAAGCATCAATGTCGATGAAAAAGTAGAACTCTTTTTAATAAATATGTATGTAAATGCATGAATATAACTCTGTTGGACTTATTGGAACATCTGTTACCAACATTTTCTTTTATAATGGAAATACATATTTTTACAATTTATACAGTTTTTATTATATTACAATTTTTCTTTTGTAAATTTTATATTGCTTTTCCAAGTCTAAATATGTTTTACTAAATTTAAATCTAATATAGAAACATTTTAATTGAATATCTGTAAAACTGTTTCCAATTTATTATTTATATACAATTAATGAGGAAATTAAAGTTTTTTATAATTTTGTTTTGTTACTCATTTCATAAACTAGTAATTACTTGAATCTCAAACATTTATTTTTAATTTTGCATTAAAGTCTAAATCAATTAATTATATCATTGTGTTTTAATAGCAATTTTTGTGTTTAGATTCATAGTTGTAATCAATTAAAAGTATAATTAATGTTCTCCATTATTACCCCAAATTCATGAATAAGATTAAACTTTAATAATTCATGATAACTTCAAAAGGCTGGTGGCAATAACAAATCAACAGGTATTGACCTGAAATTTGAATAATGGTTATATCTTATCAAGCCAAATTACCAGGGAACTCGTATTTTCAAAAAAATAAAAATTTCTGAAAACCCTACTGCCCAGAGAAACAAGTTGAGCATAGTATTACCAGGGACATGGTGGGAATCAAACTTGGAACCTTTACCAGAGGGCATTATCACTACACCACTACCACATATATTTATGCTCATCAATTTTAAACATTTTAATCACTTTTTAAGAAAACATTCTCATTCTGTTAATGTCAGTAACTCATATTTAAACAAAGTTCAGGCAAAGAGTGGAAAACCTTAAAAACCTGTCAAATTTTTAATTTTTATAAACAATGTAACCTTGGGTATCAATAGTAATTGTGGCTCAAGCTGTTTGCTTGTTATATCAAGCAAGAGATAATGGAAACATCACACGCCTTGTCAAAATCATTTAAAAAAATATCAGAATGGTTAATATTATATTAATATAGCAGCATAATATAACAACCAAATAATGATTTTATCTACGCTGTGGAAACAATCCCATACCATTAAATTCATACTCAATAAACATTAATAAAACATTAATAAAAGTCGATAACAACTAATCAAAATATTAATCACAACACAAAACATAATATTAATCAAAACACTTATCATAATATTTGAAAAATCTAGAGTATTCTCTCTGTTAATGAAACTTAATGAAGTGATAGTCAAAAAAAAAACTAATATGAAAGTGAAAACAAAGTATTCAAATATTAAAAAAATTTTAATTATATATTAAAACTAACAATGTTGTTGTGGGGTGAATTGAATCAACACGGTAATTAGTTTTAAATAAATAAAATACAGCATAAACTAAACAGACTTATATGAATTCATTTTTTACTTTCTTTTTTACTTATATCAATATACTTTTCTTTACTTTTCTTTACATTACTTATTACAAATTTATTTTTATATTTCATATTATATTTTATATTATATTTTGCAAAGAAGAAATCAATTGATAAATTTTACTTTGTAAAGAAATGAAAAGGTTGTTTAGGTTAAAAAAGAAAACAAGTTATTGTTTAATGGCAAAAATCTTCAATCTTCAAATTAAAGTTTTAACAATGATAAAAGGTTAACTAAGAATAATATGGAAAAAACCATCTTCAAATTAAAGTTTTAAACTAAAGAGTATAAAGTTAATTAAAAGTAAAACAACCTATTGTCAATGTCAAAATAATACTTTATTTTAAAACGTTATATACATTTTTTTTTTTTAAGTTATTCACCTCCCCAAGGCCCGAGGGGGCCACAACAGTCGAGGAGGCTACTCATTCTTTTTTTTTTTTTGTTTTATTTTTGTTGTAAATCGTGGTACAACCCTCTCTCAACTCTTTAACTCAGAAACACAAATCTTGACAACCAAGACTGCTGCGCGTAGAAATTTAGTTGATACATAAGTATAAAGAGTATAAAACAGATTTAAATCCTCATTTTAATTCAAATTTCAAAAACAAGCATTAAAAATCAAAACAACGGCAGCAGAAATTTTAAAAAATGTGTTGATAAACTTTATAAAACCAGACATGGTTTTATACAGTTGACATGTTTATGCTGCTTAGTTTACACAAAAATACTTTTAAAAAGTTTGAATAACAACTGTAAAGTATAGTTATTATTTACAAAAAGAATAGATTCAAAATATGTTATGTTTAGAATTAACAGAATAGATTAACTTTTAAAAAATAAAACGTGTTTTATTTGTTTACTCTAGAGAATTACAATATTTTTAATTTAATTTAATATTTTTATTTAATAATATTGCCGAGTATTTTAATACTATCAAGCTTTATTTTGAATGCAAAAGCTAAAGAATTTTATGATGCTTATTGTAATTTGAAATATAATGCTAGTGAGAAACTTGATCAAATGAAATTGTTAGACAGTTGATGCTAGATGTAAAGGAGTGGGGAGAGGGTTGTTAAAGACCCTTAGTCATTTACCTTTAAAGTCATTTAAATTTTACCATTTAAAAGAAAAACGATTGCTTTCTTTTACAAAACATACTGGTCTCAACCTTAATATTTAAGTGTTTTCTTTTGTGAAGATTCATTAGAATGCAGAGGCATTTGGTCAGCGGAAAATAAAGTAGGGTCAAACTTATACTTATGAAGCCACCAATAACAAGTTCTTCATATGTTCTAAAGAAACTGAACAATTCTTTGTTTTTTATATCTTGGGATATGGCAAATCATTTGTTAGGGACTAAAGTGAGTCTCTATACTAAAAAAATTTTCAGTTCAGTAGACAGAAAAAAAATATATCACGTAAAACAAATGCTAAGTTACAATAACAAATTATCAAAATTTCCAGTGGCATATTCACCTTTAAAACAAATTATTTTTACATTTAATGACTATTCTGCATAAGGATTTGAAAAGATTTAAAAAAACAGACAACGCCAACTGAAGGTATTCATAGATAAAAACATTGCTAAAAAAATGAAGAACTTGATGACAAAGGAATAAAGCTGCATGAAGTGAGTTAAATGAAAATGAAAACAATAACTTAGGTAGGGAAAATGGCTAGGAAAAAGGGAAAAAGCTGACAAACAATCTAATCTACCGCAAACTGACAGGGAAATGGATGCAGATCCTGAAAGTCCACTGAGTGATACTCAAAGTTTGTTTTACAAGATGAAACTGTTGAGAACTCTTTCTCAATATTGAAGATGTTAATCATTGGTGCAGCAACTCCTTGTTGCTATACATAATAAAAATGCAGGAACAGTTAAAGACTATTGGAAGGAATTGCAAAAAGAATTTATGTAGTGTTTACTACTGAAATACAAACTTTCATATATAGAATTAGATGTATTTAATGCTGAAAAAAAGTAATCAATTCAAACCTATGAGATTTTTTCCTAAAAACAGAGGTTAATTCTGTCCCCTTTCCTCCCCCACTCCCACCTCCTACAATTACGTAGAGTAAAGTACAGACAATCAATACAGATAATGATACTCTTGCTACTACTGCTGATCTACTGATCTACTGCTGATATAATAACAGAAAATTTTTATCATGCAATTAATGGAAGCAGTGAAACAAAGATTATTGCTTTTGATGTATCAAAGGCTTTCAACAAAGTCTAGCATGCTATTGTTCTTCATGAGTTTGTTTTATTTGTGTAGGAGAGAAAAGTTTTAAAAATATTGAATCATTTTTTGCTGGATATTTAAATATAAAAATCTAACATTTATAACACTTAAACTTTTAGAGAATTAAAGTTTTTATTTATAAACAATACTTTTCTTCATTTAACTTCTTACTGTTATAACAAAGTTTCATCTTTGATCATGTGTTTATATTATTATATATTATAATCTTTCTCATAATCATGTCTTTGTTTATAATAAAAATATTTCTTAAAATTTTAAAGATGTAAACTATTGAACATCTTTTAACCTTAACTTTTGTGGTCTTTCAACACATACAAGTAAAAAACTGCTAGTGGTGTAGTGGTGAATGTAAATGTGACATTTAAGAACTATAGGTGATCTTGATTCCTGCTATGAAGCATATATAAAAATGGATCCATAAATCTTCCATGAAAGAATTTTATATCAATGCAACTAGCCATATATGTCTTACTAGTATATCTTAACATCTGAGCTAATCTTACTAGTATATATTACCACCTGAGCTAATATTATTACTATATTTTAAAAAAAATCACAATCAAAAAGTGAAACTCTATCAAATTTAATCAGCTCTCTGGTCTACAATGACATCATAATTGAACATTCATGATTATATAAAACAATTAATTACCTTAAAAATATGGCACAATCAAAATTCACATTTTCAAATTCTGATTCCTCTCGGATTACATTAACATACTTTTCAAATGAATCTATGTCATCATTAGCCAGATCATGGCGACGAAATGAAGAAGCATCTTTTTGAATATCAATGGCAACAACAACTATACGTAGATTAATGGCTTGATAAGCCTAAAAAAATTTAATTATGTCTAGATAAAAAATTAACATAAAAAAATATAATATATATTTTGGTTTTATTTAAATATCAATGATATGGTATAAACTAAAATTTTATAAGAAAAAAAAAAAAGATTTGTTATGTTAAACTATTTTTATAATCTTAAAAGATTCAGTATTGGAAAAAAATAGCAAGAGAAAGAGTAAGCATAGCCTAAACAAGTCTGTTTTAGACAAACTGCCAAAGCACTTAAATATTCCCACCAATGCACAGTGGGCCAGGTAGTGGATTTTTTATTTCTTGTAAACAAAAACTTATGTTATTTTGTTTGTTATTTTATTCAATACAAACTGCACTGTTAACCTAAAATTTTGTTTAGTTTTTTTTGTTTGGAATTAATATAAAAATTGGTAAAATTTACGGACTTATACAACAAAGTAAACTAGTTTTTAATGATATACCATTCTTTTCATTGAAATTAACTGTTCTAGTTTCTGCAGATATTAAATAGAGGATTCTGAGTGAAAAACGTTATAAAATTAAAATGTAAAAAATTGATAGCTGCAAACAATGATAATACTCATTTTGAGAGAAGTAATGAAAATTAGCTAGTTCAAGATTTTCAATACACCTACAGTACATTAAATGCTACACCATTAGTTAACAAAGTTGGGAAACCATGTTGCTCTTTTGAAAAAGTTTGTAACAGAACAGAAAGAATAAGCTTAACAATGTTTTTAATATTTTATTTAGCCATTAATTACTTCATGCAACAAAATTGAAACTAAGAAGTGAGTTTAAGTACAAAACTGGCACAAAAATTTCTGTTATTTAAAATAAAAACCCCATTAAACTTGCTTGGATATATTCATCTGATGAAGCTTTAGCATTCATTATTAATGGTGGTATATCAAAATCAACATAACAGCTTCTAAGAAATGGTGCTGAAAATACAGCTGCCACATATCCTTTATATAATAGTATAGGATCTTCAAAAGCTAAATGGTATCTCGAGAACATTCAAATAGATGGCTTTTCAGTACAAATACTGCTTAGAGATCTTCTAAAACACACTCTTAAAAGTCTGAGGAATTAACTTAAATGATGTTTAGATGCAAGGATGGTTTCAATGGTGCTACAGGATATAGTTTTTACAAACAGGTAAATTAAAATGAAAATAGAGACAAATGAAGAGTGCCTGTTGATTATTTGCATAGTACCTTTAGAACTCAGTAGACTTTATAATAATAAAAAGGTTGTAATTTTATTCATCCAGAATGTGCGGCCAATAGATTAAAAAAAAAAAAAATACATTATATATAAAGATATAAATAATCTACAAACTTATTCAAAACGCTGTGGGCATTTAATAATATCAATAATAGAGTTTCAAATCTATATATTCATTTATATTTTGTATACATATCTATACATTAAACTATATATTTCAAATCTATTATATAATATCTATAATAGAGTTTCTAGTGATAAATTTTCACTAAAAACTCTATTATAGGTATTATAACTTTAAAAATAAAAAAAATGTGCATTTTTATTTTTAAAGTTTGTCGCATCAATTTTTTCAAAAGTTTATTCCACCGGAAGAGTTTGTTATTCAGTTCCACGATTTTAAGAAGTTGTAGGATTTGAAATGAAAAATTTACAAATCCGCATTTTTTGTAATTTTATAGTAATTTTTTTGAAGTTTTATTGTAATAATAGTTTTATAGTAATAATTTAATAAGTGTTAAATAATTTTTAGTTGACTATTTAACTAAAATTTGTAATAAAAGTAAAATCAAAAAAAAATATTAAAATCTATATTTCAATTTTAAAATATGAATTGCAGTCAAAATTTTATCAGAAAACCATATATTCATTGTCTAATCAAAAAAAAAATTACGTAAAAAGTAAAAAAGTAAATATATCTTAATACAAAGTGATTCTTTCGACATATAAAGGGTTTTAATAAAAGTAAATATATCTTAATACAAAATGATTCTTTCGACATATAAAGGGTTTTAATAAAAGTAAATATATCTTAATACAAAGTGATTCTTTCAACATATAAAGGGTTTTAATAAAAGTAAATATATCTTAATACAAAATGATTCTTTCGACATATAAAGGGTTTTAATAAAAGTAAATATATCTTAATACAAAGTGATTCTTTCAACATATAAAGGGTTTTAATAAAAAAAAAAGATCAAAATAATTTTGTCTACCATATGTCTAATATTTGGCCCACTGTGCAATGTCTGTATACATACATTTATTATTGTTATTGTTGTTGTTGTTATTATTATTATTATTATTATTATTATTATTATTATTATTATTATTATTATTATTATTATTACAGCATAAGCTTCTTCCAGCAAAACCATGAAGAAGTTTATTCTGATTTAAATTACCTCCTGCTTTGAAGGTCTGGATTAAGTAAATGCTAGAGATAATGTCTCAAAAAAATATTACTCATCCTGGGCAGATTTCAACTGTATATGGCTATTGTCTTGTGGAATGCCATTAGGCGAAGACTTTAGGTGTAAGCAGACAACCACTGTTGACCAGTCTTGAACTCACTATAAAGCTAATAGGCTGGTTTAAATCTATGCAATATTATTTTCTGTTAACAATTATAAATTTTGAATCTTTTAGACTTTATTAATTCTGCTACCTCCTAAAAGTGAGTACAGCTCTAAAACTCATTGTATTAGCTTTGAGACTGGCTGATAATAAGGTCTCTCAAACTGTATGACAGCTCTCAGAAAACTGATTGCATCAACAATAGTAAAATATCAAAGTATTTTAGTTTCATATATCGCATGGATGGTGTTACTGTTAGTACTATTTAAGCGCATTGCTAATGACAGATAAAGAGACTTAAATTTTGAGTTTGGATTAATTTACAGGATTGAGGCAACTGCATAGCGTACTGTTTGGGGTACTATGCACTATCCATAATTAATTAAAGTTCTCTTTAACTTAAATCGTGACCAAAGTAACCAAAAATATTAAACATAAAAATTACCACCTAAATATTTCAAAATATCTTTTACAAATATTTATGATCTTTAAAGTAATTTTCTATAGTTCTTACCTCTTGCAAAGGTCAGCAGACTTACATGCTTTTTGTTATACTAACTTGAATTTAGCTTTTTTTATCATATTATGCAGTTGTGGTGTAATGGTAGAGCGCTTGCCTCACAAGCAAGAAGTTCAATCGCCACCATGTCTCTCGTAGTACCATGCTAAACTTGTTTCCTTGCAAAGAAAGGGTTTGTAATCACAACTAAAGAGAAATAGAGTTTAGAGATGGTTGTAACTGCAACTAAAGTAGCCTCGTTGACTTGAGTGGGCTTCGTGACCTTGAGTAGGTAAATTGAAAAAAAAATTTAAAAATATCTCATATGTTGATAACTAATTTTTGTTGATTTTTAAAGACTCTAATAGTCATATGCTTGCTGTGGACATATACTTTTAAGTCAACTCACTTAATTGTATAGAAATAAGATTTGAATCCTCTGCTATTCTTCATTAAACTTCTGCTAAAAACTTCTTTACTCGATCATCTTTAATTTCGTTTTTTACAATATTCCTTCTTCTCAGGGCTCCACTCTTTATAATCAAACTGATCTAACTAAACTGAGCCTTTCTCTTTATCCTTAATCTAATGCTATCTTTATTGGTGAATAGAATGCTTATCACACCAAATGGATTTGCTTCAAACCATTGGCCCTGCTAGAACTAAAGCTCATAATATTTGAGTTTCTCAATCTCTTACTCAGATAGTTAGTTTTTTTACTCCTTTTTCATACAACTCTAATAATTAAATATAACTCCTTGATTTGTATCATTTTTCTGATCCCAGTTTGTTTTTAGTTTATCCCTGTCCTCCTTTAGGTTGTTTAGACCATGGTAAGATCTATCGATATGTTTTTTCTCATATTTCTTAAGACTCACCCTACCATTGCATTCAATACTTACTACTTACTTGTATTGATCATTTTATTAATTCATCATTAATTACTTATTACATTCTCTCCCTTGATAAATCTCATATTCATCAATAAACAAAATACTGTTAAACACGAGCCAGTTCTTAAAATGAGAGTTGTCTCTCAAAAAGGTTCAAAAATTAATTTGAAATGTTGTTAGACCTGGTTTAATTGCCAATATTGACCCTCTACCCCATCAATTAAGGCTACACCACTTTCTCTTTTTTGCTAATAATGCCATAATCTCTGCTCAAGCAAGCTGTTATCACTTTTACCATTAACTAAACTCAATTGATTTTTTATTTGGCAAAGTTGCATCATTTTAAATCATGTCAGTATTTTTTCATGCTCAAAAAAAGTTTATTTGTCAAGTTTTTTTTTATATTGATGCTTTAGACTCTTCCATTTCTATGTTATCCTAAGCAATGCAGTTAACCCTTTTTTTAATTATCTTTAAACAACAAAACATACAAATATTTATTTAATAAACAAATACGCATTTAATATATATAAACAATTGCTTAGAATATTCAAATAACAAATTTTAAACAAACCCTGTCAACTTGACCAAATATATTTAAGACTCTCTCTATCAATAATGATTTGTCATTGTTGTACTTGCGAAGCTTCATAAAATTAAAAAACAAAAGCTTAAAATTAACAAAAAAGTATTAAAATACATATAAACAAAGAATTAAAATAATTTATTAAATAATTTAACAAAATAATTAAACTAACATTTTAAAATACTTTTAAAATTATAGATTTTATAACAGAAAATGAAGAAAAACAAAAAAAAAGAATTATCTTTTGACTTAAAAGGATCCTAAA